GTTTCTGCTAGAGAGTTGATATGGCGCTCTTTAATTGCTTAATTTGAAAATATAAGTGACCATGCGAAACCAGTGCACCACCCGACACCGATGGTGATTCCAGCAAGCATGCATGAGCTTCCAAAACTTCAACCTCGCGTCGACAGATGAATGGAAAGTTTTGATTTCAGCAGTATCCTTAGGCACTTTCTTTCGACCGTTCAGGAGCCCAGCGAACATTTACACAACCGTGGGTTGAATATTAGGATTGATCAACTCCGTTTCTAAAGTGGCATCGTGCTAAGAACTGGTGTTAGAACCAGGGTAAGATTCCACATCACCGCTTAGTAGAAGTCTGCGGGCGGCGTTTGAAAGTATACAGAGTGAATGAAATCCAAAGAAAACCGTGGTAGCGATTGTGTGGGCGAGGGAACGTCGGTAAACAACGGTCATTAGAACAAATACACAGAGCATTGGCAAGGTAAAATACCAGCGTGATGAACAAACGGTGAATTAGCATGGTTCCCGCACTACTGTTGCCCAACCCTCTGATGAAAGAATCCACAGGGGACGCTTTACAGCCGTAGGTCATGTGGTCGTCGAACTGTGCCTCTCGGTGATCGAACCATGAAGTGTGACGTTAGACTTCGCCATAGTAGGATCTGGGATGAGAGCCGTAAAAGCGAAAGGTAAACCATCACTGTTATCTGCAAGGAAGATAGGGCAGCCAGAACTTTTACATTTATTTCTTTGTATGATGTAAAAACTTCTTACATGTGCAAACATTTATGCAGTAATATAGAAATGTTCAATGCCAGAATGTTTGAATATACTATCCACGCGAATATTCTTTACCACAATTACATTTATGTTTTCATATTTTGAAAGGGTGTTCCAAGTTTTCTATTATTTCTGAGTTTTTAATTTATGTAGACCAAAATTTTTGTCAACACTACCTTATGTGCGGGTCCCCAGGCTCATTCAAGCTGCATTTTCATCACTTTTCGCTTGAGATGCCCCCCAACAACTATTGTTGGAAGTAAACTTTCTTGATGCTGCATTAGAAGGAACGCTGCATTAACCAGATTCTTGGAGCATTATATAGTAAAGGAGAATGTTTAAAAGAGAGAAGGATGTTAAACATTGACCTTGAAGGATTGTTGCCGTTCGATAATTTTAAAAAATTTAAAAGTACTTCCAGAAAAAAGTAACTAGTTACCGCTAATGCAATACTAGTAACTAGTTACTGCCTAACATTGTGCATTGCCAACATGTACTTGGATAATCAAGAGAATTTCGAAAACTTGCCTATCTACCCTCACCCACACTACTGTAGGGACGCTTGCACGTACGCAGAAAATTATGAAGGGTAGATGGGCGACCCCATAGAACAGAAAGAACTCGCGGCTACCTTTTGTCATCATTTGTTTAACCCCAACGTTAGAGATATCATTGGTCCGAGACCTTTCACAGTCAGGCCTGGAGATAATGAACAGCAATATAGAGCTAGCAGAGGGGGTCGATCAAGCCATCACATATGTTGCCACCTTGTCCATGCCCGAAGATTTCTTAAGATTTGTTGCTCGGGCACAGATGTTTGCCGCAGGTAACTCTACCCACTTTCGCAAATGAACTTAGAGATTGAACTACCTTCCTTCAAGTGTAATATGGAAGCACAGTCGAATGCTTTGGTGGAACGGCTCTTCAACAATGCCACTGAAGTGCTCGCAAAAAGCAAGTTCATCTGTCGGGCACCAACTTCGACAATCAACTGTTGCTGAGTGTAAAGTTGTCCAGTTTGCGAACAAGCGCCACATTCTTCATAGTTTTGTCTTGGTGGTGAACAGATGTCGATTGCATCTAAAAACAAGTATTTAGCTGTTTTTGTGTAAAATAAAGTTTTGAAATGACCACATTAACTATCTTGCAGCTCAAGGTGGGCATGTTTTCAAATTCCTAAAGTGATACTGCAAAAAAGTTCCTGGTAAGCTGAAGAAAACTCTGCATGGGGCCCAGGTACAAAAGCCTGCATGACTGAGTTAGAATGCATTCAGAAGCTTGCAGCTTGGCTTGTTTCCTCTAATTACAACTTCACGATAAGCTCTTCTGGTATAAGAGCCGATTTCAGATGGCCGACTTTGGAAGATAGACAGAAATACATGCGCCTAATGTTCTTTAAAAAATTTTTATTGGAGCAACAGGCCTAAATAAGGACACATATCCTTGATTATACCTACTGTTCAGCCCATCGGGAACATTTTTTATAGGTCAGAGAATATAGCTGTCGCATTAAAGTATATGAGCATTCGTTTTTTTCCAAGAACATGCGATCACTGAAATAGGAGGAGGTTCTCTTGTTGGCAATCATTGTCTTTCTTGTTTCGATAAGTATCACGTCACCTCTACACAGCATTCAACTTTTTTAGTCTTTTGTAGATGTACTGTATTCCACTTTTGTTTGCTTTTCAGAATACATATTTTTTCGAGGGATCTGTTCAGAATGGACTTGTGTCCTGGCATCTGTAGTCTTAAACGTATCGCTGATCTAATGTTACCTTTTGATATTTTATATCACCGGTATTGTATTCTTTTTTTGGTTTCCGCTCTACAATAACGCTTATCGGGCACTGTAGGTATCTAAATAAAATAAATAAAGGAAGTTTACTTAGTAATGACTTCTCGATAGAAATTGTCTCCTGCTATTCCTTCTATTACATTCTGTCTGCATATTTTTTCATTGTTTTTTCCTGATCTCCCAGTGTAGTTTAACTGAGCAAAGACTTCTTCAGTTACCGTGCCAGCCTTTTGCATTTGCTTCTTTCCATCGTTCTCTCCTTTCTTTTTGCAAATTAAATTATGGTGTCAGCATTCAATAAACGACTACGTAGTGCTTCTTTTGACGCACTTCTTTGTGTAAGACACTTGTTATAGCATTTCATATGAGTAATTTTATATACTGTACATCTGAAGCATGGTATCCCGACCGGAGATCTGATGACTGCAGTCAAATAAGCCAAACGAGTTGCACTGGCCCCAGTGTTGCAGTTGGAGACGCCTAGAATACCTCCTTCTGCTGCTCTCTGAAAAAGTTTCATGGCACGTCTTCTTATGTTCTTTATATCTGCAGATAATTTGCTGCCAGCAGCGTTTGAATTCATACATTATTCGTAGTTCAACACGAGGTTTTGAATTACGTCCTTTTGTCTCTGCAATGTTTGAGACTGTATTCTAATAAAAAACAGATGTAACGTTTAGGTAACCATTTGTCCTAATGATCGACATACAACAAAACTCATTCCCTTCGACTTGGAGGTACCTTTAACAGGAACTCTTTCCATGTTGGGGAAAGAACTAGGAACTAACTTTTGTTCCTCTCTTAGAGCGACGTGTACAACATTGCAGGTATCAACAACAGGGTGTCTTGCGTACACTCCGGCGCAGGTCTCGCCTGAATGTACACTAGAAACTCTTCTTCATTATTTTTTGGTGTTTACGCAGGTGGAACTTTACATACATATTGTTTCGTATTTCCTATTAGCGTGACCAACTGTTATTGCCCTAACAATTTGCATCAAGTGGTTGCAACTCACGTCAATCACTGATTTCCGAAACATTCAACGCTACACTTGGTGCTGATTTGCCAATCTACATCGTAAATTGTCATTTATTGATTCAGAAACAACTCAACAATTACACTGCTGATACCCAATTGATTGATTTGTGGGGTTGAACGTCCCAAAACCAACATATAATTATTAGAGACGCCGTAGTGGAGGGCTCCGGAAATTTAGACCACCTGGGGTTCTTTAACGTGCACCCAAATCTGAGTAAACGGGCCTACAACATTTCCGCCTCCATCGGAACTGATGATACCCAGATGGAAACTTTGCATTCAAGTTTCAAGGAAAACTATTTGAACCAGGGCATAAGATGCACTTCAGTTTTCTTCAAGAAACTAAGCACATACAGTCAGTTTGTTAACTGACTATTACCTAATAACACTACTTATAGGAGCGACAAAATATTTCGTGTTGGAAACTAGCTTTGTGCGACTGGTTCCTTATTTATGTGGAAATTCGATAGCGAGGCTAAGCATGGTTTCGCGAAACGACCAGGCGCAACGTTACCAAATTGAAGAAAACAAGGAGACAGACAGGTTGTCATTTCGTATTTCATAATCTTGCATCTAGTCGTTTCATGAAGCTATGCCCGGCGAAGCATGCTGTTAATGTTATTCATGACAGAAAGCAGAAGTCGCATCGTTGGCTATTCGCAGCTTTCACTGCATAAAGAGGGCGCTAGTGCAAGCCCATCCTGATTGTCGTTTGGGGATCGTGCAGCTGGCGTGCCGGCAGCCGCCGCTAGTGCGCCAGTCACTTCTAACTGCGTAGTATATTTGGCTGTAGCCACCATGTTGTCAAGGCTTTGCTGAGAAAGACATTGCCTCTAGCATGTATTATATCCCGCACTGCGTGTTGAAAAATGTGTGTGTGGTGTATATTGAAAGAAAAGAAGTTTGGAACTCCGAGTGCATCGTCCGCTGCTCTGTGGAGGAATGTATGAACAGTTTTATGAAGGCAGCTCGTGCCATGACTGGGGAAGATCAAACGACCATGCTCGAACAAAGTAAAAAACCTCGCCTTTGACTGCGCAGCGTATGCATGGCGGCATCCAACATACTTCGCGATTTTTCTAGCTCAGCAAGCAAGAGTAAATCATTGCTATTATGACTCACAGTACCTGTCCGACTTCGGTAGTTCAGTGCTGAATTTAAAATAACCATAGAAGTTACCAGCAACAAAATATAAAGCACCAGTGAAACCCCAAGGTGAGGCCGACTGAACGATGGTATGGGCTGACTTTGTGGGCGTCTCCCTAACGACAGTTACGACGGATGCCGCATAGCAACGCCACCATCTGTGAAATTTACGAATGCTGCTTGCGAACGATGCATCCTCTTCGCATCGGAAATGATGTGTCTTTCTTCATCTTCTTTGTTAAGTCTAAAACATCTCTTGAAGGTTTGGACATGAAACGCCTGGAGCACATGGCGGAAGTGGGAACTAAGGCAGCGAAGATATCACGACGCGACCTGCCTGCTGCTCTCTCGAAGGTATGTGCTGGTTATGCAGAATATCATTGGCAGTTTTCGTTATAAAGTGCGCAGCGAGAAATCTCGGGAAAGTAGCATAGTTCACGATGAATCGTTTTCTTGTGGAAGCATGCAATTATGTTACCTATGTTCAGTCGTGGCCTCCATGTGTGACCAACGAAATCTCATGGTATGCGTGCGCAGTTACAAAGACATTTTAAAAAAGCACCCAAGTGTTAGCAGGGGTCACACTCTTCTACCACAGGCAGGCAAAATTATGGCTGCGTTCATCCGTGATGGACGTCTGTGCCAGCGGGCGATTGGTGCATGGGGTCACCATGGACCCAAGCCAACGGCGGGGGAAGATTTTTATTTTTTGCCATGCCTATTCATACGCAGCTTTGCCATGTCTTGAGAAAAGGGGATCCGGGCGGTTTAGCCAGTGCAAGGCGATTAGACACTTAAGGCCCCCTGGTGGAGGCAGCACATCCTTTGGCCCCTGAGCCATGTAAACGGGAACCCTAGGCTGACCCATCAAGGGGAAACCGGCAGTCACCTTTTCCTTTGTATCTTAACCCCTCTCTTCGTATTTCTCTCCCACTTTTTATCGTTCCTGTCTACTGCTGTTTTCTATTTACTTGAAACTTTTCCTGGCGGCAAAGATTAAGTATGTGTGGTTATCCCACCTTGGGAAAGCTATATTGGGTAATAGTAATGGCGTACTGCTGGCGTTGCGCAAGCCTGTTCAAGGGTTCCGTCACGTCCCTTTGTTGATCTCAGGGGTGGGTGGTAGGCGCCGTTGCCGAACAAATTACTTTTTCTATGGGAACACCTAACTCCTTCACCATTGATCACCCCGAGAAAAGGGGGGGGGGGGCATCGGTGTAACTATTTTGAAAAAAAGCTCGACTTATTCTCCAACTATCACGTTACACATTATGAAAATTGAGACAAGAAAATGCAAACTAGTATTAGAAGGATGCACTTTGAGCACTGTCTGACCAGATAGGGTTGCCACGTTAAACTCGCTGGTTTTAGCAAGGTTAAAATATTCTGTTTAAATGTTATTGACATCTATCTGTAACAATAAATTTTTCTAAACAGGTTTGGTGAAGGTTGGGCCACAGTGCCATGAATATAGTGAACAAGTATATTGGCATAACTAGAGGCGAGAAAAGTGCGAAATAGATACGAAGCGCAGGCCGTGAGATAGTGCGTGAGTGCCACCTCTTATTAGTCCTTGGGATGTCTGCTGGATGGCGGCACTTCTATATGCAGAATATATGATAAAAAGATGTGAGATGGCGGTACTTGGAGTGTTCACTAGATGGACGGACAGATGGATGGACCAACAGACAGAGAGACAGACGCACGGACGGATGCATGGATGAATGGACGTACGCAGAGACGGACGCACAGATGCACGCATGACAGATGCATGGACGGACGAATGGACGCACGAATGGATGCACGGACGGACAAATGAACGCACGAACGGAGGCATGGATGGACGTACGCATGGATGGACGCACGGATGGATGCATGGATGGTCGCCCAGGCGGACGCAAGCAAGAAAGAACGGAAGAGAGCACAACATTATTGTTACGTAAAGTGGACACGAGGCATGTCTATTTAGAATCTGAATTGAAACTGATGCGTATAGCGTCAACTAAGATGGAGGATAGCATGCACAATCAACTGACCACTTGCTCGTTGTCGTCTTCTGACCCCTGATATGTCAGCTACGTAGCATTATCCTCCCCCCCTCGATGGTAAAAGCGCCGTTTCGGTGCACATTAACTACGGTCTTCAGTAGGCAAGTGGTAAGGTTTTAGCCTGCTGATGTGCACAACATCACTGGGTCTGGTTTCAGGCAGACTTGTGGTCTGAGATGCAGGAATGATCTCATAGGTGACGTCGGTTACCTCGCGGATGATACGGTAAGGGCCCATGTAGCAAGACAACAACTTCTATGATGAGCCAACGCGATGAACTGGGCACCACAGGAGAACGAGAGAACCGGGTGAGAAGCGAATGTCAACATGCTGGCTGTCGTAGATGGCTTTCTGCGCGGCTTGCGAAGCCAAAAGTCTAGAGCATGCGATATGACGAGCATGGTCGGCACGAGCAATAGCAACGCGTGCACATTCGGTTGATGGCGTTGTAGAGATTGGAAGTAGGGTGTCGAGTGGTAACGTCAGATCACGGCCATAAAGCAAAAAAAAAAGGTGAATAGCCAGTGGTGTCATGGCGCGAAGAATTGTACACAAAAGTCACGTGAGGTACCGCCAGGTCCCAGTAATGGTGGTTGGAGGACACATACATCGCGAGCATGTCCGTGAGAGTGCGATTTAGCCGTTCGGCAATGCCTTTTGTTTGGAGATGGTAGGAAGTGATCAGCTTGTGCTGCGTCGAGGAAGAGCGCAGATCATCGATTACAAGGGACAAAAATGCGCGGCCGCAATCCGTGAGTAATTGGCGAGGAGCGCCATGGTGTAGGATGACATCGTGGAGCAAAACGTCCGCAACGTCAGTAGCGGTGATGGTGGGGAGCGCTCGAGTGATTACATACCTAGTCGCGTAGTCTATAGCAACGGCGACCCATTTGTTGCTCGATTTCAACTCAGGAAAAGGACCAAGGAGATCTATACCAACACGGAAGAAAGGTTCGGTGGGGATGGAGATTGGTTGAAGAAGCCCAGCCGGGGGCACAGTAGGTCGCTTCCTACGTTGACATTTATTACAGGAGGATACGTAAAAGAGAACGGACCAGGTGAGACCGCGCCAAAATAAGCGGCGACGCACGCGGTCATACGTCCGAGATACACCCAGATAACCAGCAGTTGGTTCATCATGAATCTCGTGCAGCACGGTTCAACGCGAATGTTTCGGCACGACAAGAAGAAGCTCAAGACCATCTGACTGGAGGCTACGACGGTACAGCATGCCATTCAGGAGGACGTACAAGCGAAGCAGCATGTCGTTCAGAGCAGATTCGAGACGGTCAATAAGTTATCTCAGAGAAGCATCACGACGTTGTTCATCACCAATCTGAAGAAACTGCGACATTGACATGACGCTGAGGCTAGGCTCGATGTCTGATTCGTCGGGCTGGTCAACAGGGTAGCGGGATAAGCAATCGGCGTCCAGATGGAGACGTCTAGACATATAAGCAACCGAGTAGGAATACTCCTGTAGGAGTAATGCCCAAAGGCCAAGTCGTCCAGTGGGGTCCTTCAGGGAAGAAATTCAACACAGCGCGTGATGATCTGTGGTGACACAGAAAGGGCGGCCATACAAGTAAGGATGGAATTTCGAAACAACTCAGACAAGGGCAAGACATTCCCGTTTTGTTATAGAATAATTGCGTTCAGACTCGGAAAGCAGATGGCTTGCATAAGCGATTACACGGTCGTTGCCCCACTGAATTTGCGCCAAAAGTGCCCCGATTCCGTGACCACTCACATCTGTTCGCACGTCTGTAGGAGCATCGGGATCGAAATGTGCAAGAAAAAGAGGCATCGTTAGAGCAGTGCTTAGCTGAGAGAAGGCGTCAGCTTGAGGAAAGCCCCAACAAAATGGGACGTCTTGTCTGAGAAGGTCAGTAAGTGGTCGTGTGAGTGCCGCAAAGTTTTTCACAAACTGGCGAAAGTAGGAGCAGAGGCCCACGAAACTGCGATCATGGACAGAGCGTGGGACTGGGAAGTTTGTTACAGCGCGTACTTTCGCCGGGTCTCGTCGTACGCCGGCAGCGTCAACGAGGTGACCCAATACGGTGATCTGGCGAAGACCGAAGTGGCACTTGGAGGGATTGAGCTGCAGGCCGGCCCATCGAAATATGGATAGAATGGTCGAAAGGAGTTCAAGGTGGGTTGCGAAAGTAGGTGAGAAAATTATCACGTCGTCCAAGTAACACATTCATGTCGACCATTTAAATCCTTGAAGGAGCTTGTCCATCATTCTCTCGAAGGTCGCTGGAGCGTTGCAGAGACCGAAGGGCATGACCTTGATTCGATAAAAATCGTCAGGGGTAATGAAGGTGGTCTTTTCTCAGTCCATGTCATCTACAGCAATTGGCCAGTAGCCAGATCGGAGGTCGAGAAATGAAAAGAAGGTGGCGCCATGGTGGCGATCGAGGGCACCGTCAATGCGTGATAGAGGGTACACGTCTTTTTTGGTAATTTTGTTGGGGTGGCGAAAATCAAGGCAGAAACGCCATGAGCCGTCTTTCTTTTTTACTAATACCATTGGAGATGCCCAAGGGCTCGTTGATGGTTCGATTACGTTGTTCGTGAGCCTTTTGGTCACTTCTTTCTGAATCACTTCTCGCTGCGACACTGACACGCGGTACGACCGACGGTGAATGGGCGAAAAAAGTCACCAGTGTTGAATCGGTGTATGACAATTTTAGTCTGGCCCAAGGAACGAGCGTTGGTGCCGAAAATGTCACTGTATGAGGCCAAAACCTGGCAGAGAGCCTCGGCCTGGTGAGGCGACAGCTTCGATCCAATCATGTTTCGAAAAATACCATCGTCTGAACTGGGTGACCGTGAAACTGCGCTTCTATCAGGAGCAGATACACTGACAACACTGACATCGTCCTCAGTTATGGCAGTTATCTGGGCTAGAGACATCTGGCCGGCCAACACTTGAGGGGTGAAACGAAAGTTGAGGAGCGTAAGAAACACACAGTTATCCGCTACGGTCGCGATGGTATGGGGCACAGTAACACTGCCCGTCAGCCCAACGTCAGTAATCGGCATAAGGGTATAATCACCGTCAAGAACGGGAGGGGCCGATGACAAAGACACGTACGTGACGGTTCGAGGTGGCAGGCGAACGAAAGTGGTTGGGCTAAAGCGGCTGGTGGGCTTTGCAGAATAGTAGGCAAAGATTGGAAGATTGAGGCTCAGGGTACCAGATAAACAGTAAATTTAGGCCGAGTGTGTCAAAAGAAAATCAAGGCCAAGTATAAGGTCATGAGCGCAACAGGCTAGCACGGCAAAAAGGACCACGGCGTG